GAGAAGGTGGTGGTGGCGGCGGTGGCGGTGCTCCAGAAGAACCCGCTAACAATCCTCCGGAACCAGAAAATCGCCTACGAAACTGTAAAAAAACAATAGTTAGTTATTAATACAAAACATAAATATTAAAGAATTGAACAAGAATTGAAAACCAATTACCATTTTATGATTTTTTTTTTGGTTGAGTTTTTTTTTTTTGATCGTTTTTTTTTAGATGTTGGAGGAATGATGGAGAAGAATGGGGCCGCTCGCCCTTATATAATCGAAAATTCCAACGGATTTCCAACAGACATCCGTTGGAATTTTCTGGGCGCATTTAATGTTGTCTGATAAATTCCAACGGATGCCCGTTATAATCTTCATTTCCAACGGGCATCCGTTGGAAATATTCTGGAATGACGCGATGGACGCCAGGTGCGTCGAACGGATTTAATGCTTCAGATTTTCCAACGAATGCCCGTTGGAAATGAAGAATGTAACGGGCATCCTTTGGAATTTATCAGCGGATTCAATGTTTCAACTATTACAACGGGTGTCCGTTGGAACTTTCCAACGGATACCCGTTGTAATTTAGTACCGACCCGATCCGTCCCGAAACCGAACCATACCGAACCGAACCGAATAACGTTTGGTTCTAATTTGGTACACTTTTTATAGAACCGAATGAACCGTTTCCGAACCGAACCGTATGAATACCGAACCAAAATTCGAATATTCCACTAATATATGTGTAAATAGTATAGTTCGATACTTATTTGGTATTCATATAATGGTACCGTTTCGAACCGAACCGATACTAAAACCGAACCGAACCGAACCGTTTAACATTCGGTTCTAGTTTGGTACACTTTTTATAAAACCGAAAATACCGTTCCCGAACCGAACCGCTTGAATACCGAACCGAAACCCGAAACGCCCACCCCTAGTTTCGGGTTTATGTCAATACCTCCCCATCGATTTTTCCGTGAGTCGCGTCCCGACGTTGTATCAAACCAGTCACATCTGAATATGATTGTTTTCAACCCGACTAATCCTGGATACTGGAGTTGGAAAATCTGACGAAGAACCCCAAAGAAATCAGGATCTTCCGATGACCCGCTTTTTATACAAACTCCGTAATTGAACGTGGATTTATGTTTTCCATGATCGTAAGTGTGAAACGTGTATCCTCGGGTGAACATTATCGACTAGCAAATGACTTTTCTTCCAGGTCCATGTGATATATCTCTGATCCATGCCGGAATTCTATCACTGCATGACTGAATCTGCGCATAAAAATTAAATTAATACACAAATACATACACGTACATATATATATATAGCTAGAATACTTACGTAGTCTCGAAGCCAAGATGCATAATGTTGTTCCTTCATTCCTTCAAGTTCCTCCCCACTTAGGTTAGGATATGTTGCCAAAACATCCTCGTCAAAAAGTCTTACAAAAAAAAGTTGTTAGCAAATATATATGTAATTAATTAATTTCTAATCACATCTAAGATTAAAAAATGTGTACCTTTCGTATGGCTTAAGTTCTTCACAATTCAACAGTATATATGTGGCGATGTGATTGTACTCTTGTACAGTTAACCAATATTCTTCAGATTTGCCTCCGAGGCGTCCAGTAGGCTGAAAACTTTCGGGAATAAGTCCGAAACATGAATCATAGTGGTAGAGATAACTTCTATCGTCTTCGTTGATAGCCCTCCTTTTCTTCGTCTGAATATGAGATTCAAAATAGAAAGAACTGAAGTAGGAGATCTCCTCTTACAAATACTGTTTGACGATAGATCCTTCCACTGCTGCTTTGTTTTTAGCCTTTTTCTTCAGATGGAAAAAAAATCGCTTAAATGGATACATCCATCTAAACTGTACTGGACCACCGTATATCGCCTCATCTGGTAAATGAATATGTAAATGTTCCATCACATCAAAAAATGAAGGTGGAAATACCTTTTCCAATGCGCAAAGTATCTCAGGAATGTTGCCTTTCAAAACCTCTAGGTTACTTCTTCTCAAAGATCTTGCACATATATCTCGGAAGAATGTGATGATACCGCATAACACTCCGTGGACATTGGATTTCAATAGCTCCGCAAATGCAATAGGAATAAGTCTTTGCATGAATACATGGCAATCATGACTCTTCATTCCCATAAGTTTTAATGAATCGGTATCAACACATCGCGCCAATTTGGATGCATATCCATCAGGGAATTTAACCTCTTCTTTTAACCATTTAAACAAGACTGTTTTACCTGGTTTTTTGAGTCTGAATATCGGCACAGGTGCGTGACCATCACGTGTCAACTCCAACTCTTTTCTCTTGCATATATCTTTCAAGTCCTTCCTCGAGTTGATGTTATCTTTACTTCTCCCTGGCACATTCAGAACGGTGTTGATGATGTTATCAAAAAAGTTTTTCTCTATATGCATAACATCCAGATTGTGTCGAAGCGTTAGCGAACTCCAGTAAGGCAAATCCCAAAAAATACTACGCTTATACCAGTTATGCCAATCACCAAATCCTTTGCACTTCTTATGCCCAAAATTTCCTCCACAATGCACAGAAGCTTCCAAATCATCCAAATATCCACTATTTATTCGCTCAGAATAATTTGCTCTCCAGTTTGCATAACAGGACCTTCCTCAGTAACGATTTTACCTTTGGTAAAAAGCGTACGATTTTGTCTGAACGGATGATTACTTGGAAGAAATCTGCGATGACAGTCAAACCAGCACGTCTTTCTCCCATGTCTCAACTGAAACGCTTCTGTTTCCTCCATGCAAAACGGACATGCAAATCTTCCATGTGTGCTCCATCCCGATAGCATGCCATACGCCGGAAAATCACTGATCGTCCAAAGAAGAACCGCTCTCAGTGTAAAATTTTGTTTCACACTTACGTCGTAAGCAGGGACTCCAATGTCCCACAAATCCTTCAACTCCTTAATGAGCGGCTGTAAATACACATCTAAACTCTTCTTCGGATGTTCTGGCCCAGGAATCAACAATGTCAAAAACATAAATTCTCTTTTCATGCACATCTCAGGTGGTAAGTTGTACGGAGAAAGTATAACGGGCCATAATGAATACTGCATGCCAGATTGTCCGTACGGACTAAATCCATCAGTACCCAAACATAGATACACATTCCTAGGCTCAGCAGCGAATTGAGGAAATACCATGTTGAAGTTTTTCCACGCCAAAGCATCTGATGGATGTTGCATTTCTCCATCAACGGTAGAATGTGAGGCATGCCATCTCATATATGAAGCCGTTTGTTGTGATTCATACAAACGCTTCAATCTGTACGATACCGGCATATAGAACATCTTTTTATACGGAGTTTGTCTCCGTACATTCTTACTCGGACGATATCTGTTAGTCCCACAGAATTTACACATAACCAATTCTTTTTCTTCACCCCAGTACAGCATGCAACCATTTTTGCAAACATCAATCTTTTCATAAGGCATTCCCAAATTCTTCAACATAGCCTTCGTATCATAATACGATTCTGGAGCTTCGTTATTTTCAGGTAAATATTCACGCAACGTTTGACAAAATGAATCCATGCAATTTTCGGTGACATTGTAATCCGTTTTCATACTCATCAATCTTGATGCAAGAGATAAACGTGACTGACCTTCTTTACATCCTTCATAGATAGGATGATTTGCCATATCCAACATGTCGAAAAACCGTTTTGTTTCGACGTTTGGCTCCTCCTGATCTTGTGATAAGTTTTGCTCAGCCAATGGCGTCCCAGGAAAAGCATCTGTCACCATTTCAACATAAGGATTTCTTACATCTTCATCTACATCATACCTCTGCTCGGCCGAGACATGTTGTCCCGTTGTGATTGTCCGAACTTCTTCTCCATGAAATCGCCAAATATAATAATCTTCGACAAATCCCCTTCGAAATAGATGTTTACAAACATCTTCTGGCCTGCGATATTTAAAATTGCGACAACTTGTATATGGACATAGCATTTTTCCACGTTCTTGACACAACGGCTGCATAGAGGCAAAATTCATAAACTGTTCCAAACCGTTAATGAATTCTTGCGTTACCTCTTTTGTAATCGAATCAACTCTTTCGTATATCCACTGTCGGGACGAACGAATATTCGGATTTGTTGAAGATGTCATTTTTAGGAGAATTTTTGGTAAAAGAATAATATAAGAGTGATTTAGAGAGTGGTTTGGGCGAATTATGACCGGGTGTTTTAAATAGAGAAACTTTCCAACGGATATCCGTTGGAAATCCGTTGAAAAGTTCGTTACCGTTACACTTACCAACGGATATCCGTTGGAATATTTCGAACGTTATAACGTTCGACTATTTCCAACGGATATCCGTCGGAATTATTGCCGCGTTTCATAACGTTCGAATAATTTCAACGGATTGCCGTTGAAATTCGTCGAACGTTATTTCCAACGGAAATCCGTTGGAATATACGTGGAAAATTTCCAACTCAAATATCCGTTGATATGCTGTTGGAAATTTCCAACGGATTTCTAACGGACGAATCCGTTAGACGTCCGTTGGAAATCCGTTAGAAATGCGTTGGAATTATTCCAACGGTATACCGTTGGAAATCCGTTGGAAAAATTACAACGGATTAATCCGTTGGAAAAATCCGTTGAAATTTCGCATTTTTTTTTGTAGTGAAACCATATCTTATAGACTCTTGGTGAATCCTACCAGATCTCCGATGTTCACTAGGAGGTGCTATCTCAACAACTTGTGACACAGGTTGAATTGATTCGACATGTTCACCCGGTTCCTTGACCATTTGTGGTTCTCGAACTTCTTCGAGATCTATTCTATTTCTACTGACTCTGTTGGAGACGAACTTTGCTCTCAGATGGGTTGTAGAACCAGTAACCCTTTAGTTTTCTTAGGGTAATTCACAAATATGCATTTATCAGATTTGGTGGATAGTTTATCAGAAGTCCGACGTTTCACATAAACGTCGCATCCCCAAATCTTCATAAATGACAACCTGGATGCTTCCCAGTCCATATCTCATATGGAGTTTTCTGAACCGATTTTGTTGGACAGTTGTTCAGTATAAGCGCTGGCGTTTCCAAAGCATAACTCTAGAAGGATTTAGGAAGATCGACCTGACTCATCATGGATCGTACCATATCTAATAGGGTTCGGTTCCTCCTCTCGGATACGCCATTCCACTGTGGTATTCTAGTTGGAGTCAGCTGTGAGACAATCCCACAATCTGCCAGATAGTTAGTGACCTCTTGGCTCATATACTCGCCACCTCGATCAGATCGAAGTAACTTGATCATCTTGCTAAGTTGGTTTTGCACCTTGTTTCTGAAAACCTTGAACAATTCAACTGTTTCAGACTTATGTCTCATCAAGTAGACATAACCGTACCTACTGAAATCATTAGTGAACGTAACGAAATACTAATAACCTCCTCTAGCGGACGAGCTCATACGACCACATACATCACTATGTATGAGTTCTAGCAACTCTGTAGCCCATTCTCCTTTTTCTGGAAAAAAGAGACTTTATCATATTGTCTATCAACCAAGAATCAGACGATTCGATTGATTCATAATCAAAAGAATCAAGAAGTCCATCAAAATGGAGCTTCACAATGCTTTTCTCGTTGATGTGACCAAGTCGATAATGCTAGATATAGGTCGGGTTTAAATTGTTCGGCTTAAACCGTTTCGTACTAACATTATAGATTGACCTGTATGTATCTAGATGGTTCGTCATCCAAAATATAAAGGCCATTAAACTGGTAACCCTTACCATAGAATAAATCGCCTCTACAAATGGACAGACCTTTGTTATCAATAACAAATCTGAAACCATCCGAGTCTAAGCATGAAATCGATATAATGTTCTTGTTGATGGCAGGAACAAAATAACAATCATGCAATTTTAATACAAGGCCAGAACGTAAAGTCAGATCATAAGCCTCGACGGCTAATGCGGTAACTTTTGCTCCATTCCCGACATCGAGATCTACTTCTCCCTTCGCCAACTGTCCACTTCCTCGCAGTCCTCGCACATTTCCACAAATATGCGAGGCACATCCAGTATCTAATATCCATGATGTAGAAGTAAACAAGTTCGCCTTTATGACGAAGATACCTGTAGTGACCCGAGGGCGCTACGGAATGATAGAGCTGTCCCCACACACCAATACGAGACCTTTTAGTGTATTTTGTCCTCAATCGCACACATCCCTGAAAGTACTTCCCAGGAGATCACCCATCCTAAGACTACTCCAAGGCCAGCACGCTTAACTTTGGAGTTCTCTCGAGATGGACAACCGAAAAGGTAGATACATCTTGTTGTTATGAGTAGTTCAATCATTCCTTTAAGTTATCATTGACTGTGTAGTCCCATACCTACATAACCCTCGGATCTCTCTCATTCTGGTGTGTTCGATTCATTCCTATACCACCTATCCAGAAGCTCATCAGGAGCCACCCCTTGTCCATGCCTCTCGTACCGACGATCATTCCCCACTCTCCTACGGTATCCTGGGTTGTCACAGACTCACCAGCTTCCACCTGGTTTGTCCTCGAACCACACCGTACTGGGAGAGTACCGGCTCTGATACCATTTGTAACGATCCGAAGCCGCAATGAAAGAGCTGTCCCCACACACCAACACGGGACCTTTTAGCGTGTTTTGTCTTCACTCGCACACATCCTAGAAAGTATTTCTCAGGAGGTCACCCATTCTAAGACTACTCCAAGGCCAACACGCTTAACTTTGGAGTTCTCTCGAGATGAGCAATCGAAAAGGTAGATGCATCTTGTTTTTATGAGTAGCTCAATCAATTCCTTTAAGTTATCCTTGACTGTGTAGTCTCATATCTACACAACCCTCGAATCCCTCTCATTCCGGTGCATTCGATTCATTCCTGTACCCCCTCTCGTACCGACAATCACTCCCCACCCTCCTACGGTATCCTGGGTTGTCACAATACCAGAAGTCGAAGCTTTTTTTTAAGTTTCTTCTTCTCTTGATCTTCCAGGTAAATTCTACAATTTCTATACCAATGTTTGTCGGCATGAGAAAAAAAAATAGCACTCTCCCTTCTCATATTTAGGCTTAGGTTCAGTAACAATGCTTATCACCCTCCTTTTCCTCTT